CACTTAGCTCGCATACTGCTAACCACTTGGTTTCCTGATGCTAAATAGAGATAGTGCCTCCTTGTTAGTTTCAGGGCTCCCAACGGACAAGGCCCATCTCATGGACAGGGCTGATACTCTAAAACAAAAACTCTGGAAGGCATACCTAGATCAGACCCCCTAAGGCATAAGAGAATAACCCCAAAATCAACAATGGATGCTTTCCACTAAAAGAATACACACAAATTTTATTTCAGCAAGACACCCAAACTTTGTTTCAACCAATATATGACACCTAGTTGCCTCTAAGGGAGGACACTAATATTTTATTTTAGCCTGTAGGTGACATCCATCTCTAAGAGAAGGCAGCCATTATTCAACCAATGATGGCATAATCCTTTAAGACACCTAGGTTTTATTTATAAGAGAAAATAACTAAAACTTATTTCTATCAGCAACATTTAATTCTATAAAAGAACCTAGACTTCATTTGCATGGACAGATGCCACTTTCCTGAGCAGTTCTAGTGCAAATATTATTTGAGAACATCCACTTCCTGCTCTCCCTCTTGCTATTATGTGCATGTAAGGGCGAAAGGATGACCAGGGAGAAAACTCAAAAACAGTAATTTATTCTGAAGATTAGATTCATGTAAGAAGTCATGCATATTCAAATGTTTCTTCTTCTTTGTTTTTTTTTTTTTTGAAAAGCCTGCTCGTTCAAAGTTGAAGGTCGGATCAGCATGAACAACCTGATATTATTCACCTCTAAGGAAGCCTAGAAATGATAAGCTAAAATGAAATTGTTTACATTTTATATACACTCAGAAAAATGGTGGACTGAAGCTATCATTCAAAGTAGCCATGCTTAACCAAACTCAGGAATGCTTAAAGTGAAACACCTAGCCTAACACACACAAAAAAAAAAGAGTAGCTTCACAAATGAGCTGAAGCTAAAGCAAGATTTCCAGCAAGCATGGACTTATTCATATTGCTCGCTTGAGCAAGCCAAAGGCAAAAAAGTCAAACCGAAGCTGTCATTGGGTAATCCTACTTGAGAGAGATAATTAATGCTAAAAACAATTCATTCAACTCCGAAACACCATGTCAATATTAACATTAGCTTATCTGTGTCTAAGAAACGTGAACATTTTTTGAGTTATCCTAATTACTTTTATTTTTATTTTTATCTTACTCTTGTACGGAGGACCACACTTTATATTTCAATACAATTTACTATACCTTTCTCAAAAACAAAAAAAGGTCCTCCTGTGCTCCTTCCCAGGTTAATCACAAAAGCAGCACAAGCTGTAAAGATCTAAGCAGGGTCAAACATCCTCACCAATCATTGTGCTCCCAAGCTCCAGAGGAAAGAATAGCTGGGTTGCCTATCAAACTGACCACCCTATTTCAGATTTGCACAACTTCCATGAGAGGAGATATCCAACCTTGGATTGCCCCAGAATCTAATTCCTGGCCCCAATTTAGGAGGCTAAGTGTTGGATTAACTATGACCTGAACATTGCCCCAGACACTCTAATACCATGCTCCCTCATTTCTATCCTTTGGTTTTTGAGAAGAATAAAGCTATTTCAACCCATTGTTTCCTTGCTTTATTATTATATAGTTTTTATTTCTTCCTACTTGGCATTTTACGGACAAAGGAAAAATACAAGGAAGACAATAAGACCCCATTTTCAATTAAGAAGTACAATCCCATCATGCAGCGAACATGAAAGCAATAACCATTTCTAACCAACTACAGTTACATACAGGTAGCATATGGAAACAACAATAGTGAATGCCTAGCAGCCCACACTTGCCTCTTTTTTATCATACCCTGCTCTTGTGAATGAACATTCAAAAACCAGCAGAGCTGTGCCAGTTTATTTGGATAACCAAAGCAATATGTGAAACATGAGACCTACTCCCCTTTAGTCAAGTAGCTCCATACCAAATTTCTGGTAGCAGATGAGTCTAAATTGTTGGGATAATCAGAGATTTGAAACAATTCAAGTTAATTGATTATAGCCCCAACTCAACATTGATCAAAAGATTGGTAAACCAATGCAGCCATCCACAAATCAATACCAACCCACTTATGTGGCAGCAAGCCAGTTCAGCTCATCAAGCTATCTGGAAAAACTAAGCAGGTTAAATTACATGCTAGCAAATCAATCACACAGCAACTTCCATGATAGCAGTTTTCTAGCCTATTTTCATAACCATGAGGGTTAAAACAAATCAGAGTATATGATAGTGGATTACCCCTAACAAGCCTGTGCAAAAGTAGAGTTCTCAGCTCAGCTCAGCTCAGCTCAGCTTATCACAAGGAGTAAGTGAAATGTATTTTGCATGAGCATCCAAGCTTTTCCTCTTGTCTACACGTATGCATATAGTCAGAATAAGAGGGCATTCTCTTTATTTATTAAGCAAGCTTTTCCTCTTGTGCTCTCCCTTCTGAGTAGCTTCCCTATCATTGATTTCTGCCATTAGCCACCTTGTACCTCACCCCTCTACTGAAATGGTTATAAGCTTTCTCAATGCCCTTCCATACCGAACATTCATAAGACTGGATGAAGACACATGAATCCCAACCCAAGTTCTTGATCCATATTTAGTTCGGATCCCTTCTCTCCAAAGATACCCCTGTTCCCCAAACCTCCAAAACCATTTCCCTAACAGGGCATAGTTTACATCCGTTAATCTTCTCACCCCAAGCACCCCATATTTCTTTGGTCTGCCTACTTTGCTTCAATTAACCAAGTGATATTTCTTCTCATCTTTCCAGCCCCTCCACACACACACACAAAAAAAAAAAAGAAAAAGAAAAACTCTCATTTTCTTTTCAATAGCTGCCATACTAGCTGGCAGGGGATACAATGACAGCAAATACATAGGCGTAGATACCAATACACTCCTCGGTCCTCAATAAGGTCAGTTTGCCTCAATTTGGCAGATACTTAGCTTTCCAAGAAGCTAATTGCCTCTTGATTTTCTCTACTATTAGTTCCCAAATTGTCTTTGAAGTGCACTTAGCCCCCAAAGACATCCCCAATTATTTGTCCTATTGGCTAGTTACTGCATCACTAGGGAGGGCAAATGACTAGTCGTCATCTAACGGCATTGACAACACACTTTGCTATTATATTTTGGAGCATGTGCTCACAAAGGCTATATGACCATCTTATATGACAACTGAAGTTATAGGAATCAGCAACAGAATGTTACAATCAAGAAATCCTAAAAAGAAAGCTTGGCGAAAAGGTGCTCAATCTCAAGATGGGGCTACAGAGCCAACCCGTCACCAGCAACTGGTTTCTTAGGCTGTGCAATTCAGTTTTTCAAAAAGAACATCTAGGTTTGCACGTGAGGCTTTTCTGGGGAGCGCTTCTCCTGGATTTTTGCTACATTTTTTTTTTGATAAATAGATTTTTGCTACATTTTTATGAATCGATTTGATGTTGAATAGGTAATTTACTCTATTGTAAGTTGTATCTATGATATTTACAGTTTAAACAGATTAGCCTACGTAAGGCATGCATGTACAAAGCTAAAAAAACAAAAAAAAAAAACTGTGTTAATAACATGATGCTTTAACCAATTGAGATCAGTTACAAAAAAAAAAAAAACAATTGAGTTGATGGGATTTTTTACCTATCTTATTTCTTTAATAGTTAAGTTTATTATGTTATTGTGTGTTGAGTTTTTTTTAGGCTTATATTTCAAAAGTAACACCAAATTACATTCAGACATATGCACCACATTGTGCCTCAGGTTCTAGGAACCCTATGTGCTTTAGTTGTACTTCTTGCTTTTAAGACAGTTTGTAAGTTGTAGTATATTGTACTGAGCTGAAGTTGAGGCTTAGTAAGAGTTAAGAGTTACTTTTCTAGAAATTTTTTCCACGTGTCTTGTAAGCTTTCAATCTTGGTTGAATTATGAGTATGAACTGAATCACATCTGGACTAAGGGAGCCTGCATATGGCAAAATTTGCAATCCCCCCCCCCCGATAAGAGTGAAGAACTTTATTGCTCCAAAGCTACTGCTTGTCTGGCCTGGTGTTGCTCCAAGATCTACTGTAGACAGTTATGCCTTTGATAATAAGTACTGATTTTTGGATTCCTATCCAGTAGATCTATCCTTTGTCCTATCTTCCTTCTTTATCATAGTTCGTGATTATCATACTGCTGGATCAACCCCATGCCAATTGACAGTTTGACACTCCATTTTCATCTGTATTACCTTTACTCCCCTTAATACCTTCATTCGTTATTAATACTTCCTACCCCCATTACAATACCTGCCTATATTTTGCCAGAACCTGTTGACCAGCATCATAAGACCTTTTCGTATCCCATCCTTGCACTTCTGTGCCAGAATTACTTGCATTTGTTATTTCACATGCTAACCCTCATAACATTCTGTAAGACAGCCATAGAACCCCTTACATTCCATGCAACATCAGAACATCTAACTGAAACTCTTACTTCTTTCAACCACGATTTCTTTCAAAATATCTAGCATCAGAAGATTGGCTTGTAAGTGCACTTAAAAATCTCTGGTGTGGCACTGAAATTTACTTTGTCTTGAGTGAAATGCTACAATAGGATACATTTGCAATTTCTTGATACTGTTGTTCTTAACAATGGATGAACCTCTGCTATGGGTTTTAAATCTCAAAACCAGTTAAAAACTTAAAATGGACTAGAACCCCATATTTTAGCAAAGATAAACTAAATAGTAAATACAGTGGAAATTTCTGAATACAGGTATCCAAATGCATTCACACTTTAAAGGGTCCTTCCATGACAAGCATCACAGACATGAAAGGATATTGGCTACCAGTCTGATTAGCTTGGTTCGTAAATTAAATAATCAAAAAATCTTGTGAGGTTTCCATTAAAGTCAAACAGTGAGTTCATTAAAATAGGAGTTTCTAATACCCATAACTTCTATAAATATCTAAAAGAAGAATTCTCTGAAAAAATAACTTAAATTAAATCAAAACAGGGGCAAACCTCAGTCATTTGTTTCTGCCCACAAAGTAATACGCCAGTGGACAAAGGATTGTAAGTTTGCTTTGCTCTAGCAAACGCATTCTGAGGAGAAGAAACTATTTCAAGTCACTAATACAGAAAGGAAGAAACTTTGGATCCCAGAAAATAGGCCGCAACTTTAAATTAACCTATCAAGCCAGAAGAAACACAAATAATACCTGTACATAGCCACGTTCCCCCCTCCATTTATCGTCAGGTTGTGACAATACAGGCACAATCTTAACACCTGTAGATTCCCACTCTTTGAACCTATCCTATAAAAGGAAGAAGGACCATAAAACTCGAAGTTAGTTCATTTTAAGATACATTTGTTGATTCAAATACATGTCTGGTTCAGAAAAAAAAAAAAAAAAAAAAAAAAAAAACATCATAATATGGTTAATACACCATCTTTCTCACCTGGTAAGCCATTCTCTGAAGGTTTCTAGCACCATAGTAGAGTCTTACGTCAGATCTCTTGTTGGCACTGAAACCTGACTCAATGACAGAGCGGATCGGACTGCACATAAGAAAGTAGAGGAGAAAACAGTCATGTATAATGCACGAAAGAATATCTAAGGCAATAGATAATAAATTTTCTCGGAGCCCATTTAAAATGAATATGGATCGAGGATAGTTGGAGCAAGCTACGCTTGGGATCCTGAACATGAGAGTTATCATAGCTCTCCAACTTATAAGGACTCTAACCTAAAACTTTCAGACAGATGTCTAAGAACTCGGGAGGAACCATAGAAATTACTCTCTAGATTTCAAGGTCGATTTTTGCCGTTTATCAAAAATTCGATTGAGAAGCAGTTTAGTTGGTTCAATTCTTAGAAATAGAGATAGCACTTTGTGATAAGGAATGAAAGATGAAGTTTTTATTAGGAAATTTACCTAATCCCAGACCCGGTAGCGAATATAATGACAGTTTGACACTCCTCCGGAGGTGACAGTTGATCGATATCGAATCCTTTCCCCATGACTTGACTCAGTTCAACAACATCACCACCTCGGAGCCGGCATAGTAGCTCGGCCGTAGAGCCGGGGACGCCCTTCACTAGGAATTCGAACTCGCCCTTGGACGCAGAGAGAGATGGCGGAGAGGCAATAGCAAGGAAAGAAGGCTTCTCAACATCAGGCAAGCGGAGTTGCAGGTACTGCCCAGGACGGGTAAAGGAAATAGAGAGGTCCGGCGAATCGGAGACGTCAATAGTTACGTGGAAGAGGGATTCAGCGGCGGGTTCAACCCTGGTGAGAGGGGCTTGGGTCCAGACAGTAGTATCCTGACGCACGGCAGCAGCGACGGAGGCGAAGCGGCGGCGATGGTGGCGTAGATTTAGGTGGCGCAGGTTTAGGTGGCGTATGATAGCCATGGGAGGGAGGTGGGAATGGGGAACATGGGAGGCGAGGTGAGGGAAAGAGAGGGAGGAAGAGGAGAGAGTGAGGGACGACATTTCTGTTTTGGGTTTTGAGTTGGTCCTTTGTCAGTAGTTGGTCGTCGTGGAACGCCGCCAAAGGTGGGGGAAGGTCAGATGGTGAAGAAAGGGCACGTTGGGCAGCTGTTGCATTGCGCCGGTGTGCCGTGTGCGTATTTTACACCATCAGTAGAGGAGAGGGAAAGGCGGAAAACCAATCGGGTGGCTGTTCTGAAAGTTTGGAGGATAAATGGTATGTTGGTGGGCCACAGGCCCACAGCCTTCAAATTTGGCTGTCTACATTCTCTGTGGACATCCAGCTTCCCATACGCTATCCCATTTAGGGTCCGTTTGCTTGATAGCCAAAATCGGAATCAGAAACAAAATTCTTTAAAACCAGAATTAGAATGATCTATTCCTATAGTCTGTTTGGTTTAACAGGAATGAGAATAGGAATTGAAATCAACAGGAATAAAATTTTATTCCCAAACAATAGAATTGAGACAAGATTTTGATTCCACCCAACTAGACAATTAGAATTAGAATAATCCATTCTGATTTCAATTCTTGACCTCTATTCCTATAAACTAAATCAGGCCTTAGTTTATATTTGTCTTTTTAAATTATGAGTAAATTATAAATAACCCCTAGACTTAGTACAGTAACAAATACCTCCGAATTTTTATTTGCGAAAACTCCTTTTAACTTTCAGCTTGTGATAAATTCCCACATCTGTTATAGTTCCATCAATTAACTTCTAAAAATATTCTCATTTAGCTGTTTAAAATATTTTAAGCTTTCAAACTTTCCTTCTCTTATTTATTTGAACTAACTTATGATTTGATTAGTTTTTTAAATATAACATCCAAATCCTCTCAGATGCTCCAATAGATCTTTGCAGATTTGTGGTTGGGTTCAATATTTAAATGAAACGATAGAGACATCTTTCTAGTATATATAAATTTATGGTTTAACTTAATTTTTTTTTTATTTATTGGAAAAGAAGTGAATAATGTTTATATTTTAAAATGATTAGATACATTCATGTAAGTGAAATGAATCAATGAAATGATTCTTTTTATTTTAGCTGATTTCGTTTGTAAAGAATAGATCATAGATGTACTTTCAGGGGGACATTTAGGTTGGGTATTTGTGGCAAAGTAAAATTTCACGGGAGGCATACCAATGCAATCCGCACAAGTATCTGCACTTCCGAGTCGACGACAGCTTTTATGGATTCTACAAGACTACAACACAAATAGCTTTTGCTTTTCCCCTTCTTGACTGGACAGTTATATTGGATGGAAATGGAATGAAGGGGGTGTTTGACAATTGACAACATGGATTTTGTTTTTATAAAAACAAAAGTACAAAACCAACACCTTCGAAGCTATGAATCTCATCTTTATCACATGAACCTATGATAAAACGGAGTGGGGATACCCCAACATTATTGGTGTTAAGATAATAGATAGTTGGCAGGGTGAAGTTGGTCGTTTGCAATTTGGTTTTGGTGTCCTCTACCAACTACCAAGTCCAAGTACTGAAGTACCTACTGGTAGGGACGCAATTTGGGAATTTGCTAAATTTTTCAATGAGCCCCAACCAGCCCAATGTAGTAGAAATATTTTCAAATCGAGAAACCCGATTAACACTACCGACTGGCCGGTGCAAGTGGATACTAAGTCTGCGTTTGGATGTAAATATGTAGAGTGTAAAATGGTTCATGTAAATATAAAGTTGAATTAGTTTTGTATTGACAAATTTATATTCTTATAAACTTAGTTTGGAAGGAGTACATATACAAATATGTAGAGTGCAAAATCCTGTATTTTGTACTATTTTGTATATATTTGTATTTGTTCTCTTTCCGAACCGAGTTTACCAAACGTGCTTTTAGCAATTGATGCAAATGCGAATTTCAATAAAGTATGTCTTTTTTTTTATCAAAAACCTATTTGAACATAAATTTACTTTTTTTTATTGATGTACTTTTACATCTCATTATTGATGTAAGCATACATTGGAAAATGTATTTTTCAGTCATTTGTCAATGCATAAATGCATTATTGTGGAACACTTCTAAAATTGAATAAGAGTGTAAATTTACCCTGAACCAGGATTTACGGTTCATTTACATCATTTCCAAACTCAGCCTAAAGCATCACCATGTTATCCATAACTCATTGTCCAATGCAACAAGGTGGGGGGTATACACTTAGAATTGGGATCTGCTCCTCACATTCACATTCCACTTCTTACTATGAATATCTCCCATCATTGATAACATACAAAGATGTTCCTGATGTGCAATTGAAACATACTCATGCTCTGAAGTTGTACGAAAAGCATTGTGTGAAATAGATTTGGATTCATACACTTAACCCGACTAGTAAACATGTACATGTATTTGCATGTGACATTATCTCCAAGACAAAACTATTTATAATTCATTGACAGTTTCTTAACTATTATAAATAGACAATTTTTTAACAGTTATAAATGGGCAGTTTCTTAATTGTTATAAATGGACAGTTTTTAGAGTAAAAGTAAAAGACACATATGCCCTTTTTTATGCCCATTGTATATTGCTTAGATAAGGGGTAAAAATATCTAATGAAAAGACCAAAAAAATAGGGTTACTCGCTCTTTTATTAATAGTATAGATATATATATTAGTAGGAACTAGGAAGCGATAAAAGACAATAGACCCAATCAACGATATACAATGCGATGCACATGCAATGCGAAGTGAAGAATCAGATCCGTTAACAAAGACACAAACATGCGAGTGAGAATGAGTTGCCCATATTGGATGGTGCTAACAGATAAGTGCTAAGAGGTCCAGGCCCAATTCTGTTTTGGATACAAGTCTCTCATCCAAGGACTAATCTCTCCTTACAACTACTTCCTATTTCATTTAAAACAGTGGTGTGCTTTTTTTTTAACTAACACTACTTATATTTGGAACCCAACTTTTCAAGTGCTTGTTTAAAAAATAACCACTTATTTTATATTTGAACATTTGGGGGTTCGGATAAGCAATTGTGATTCTTTTGTCCATTTTCTTTCAAGTTTAAAAATATCCAATCCAAAGTAAATGAATAAAAGTATTTTGATAAAATTGCTTTCACAAGTGTTTTTGTAAAAATAATTTTATAAAGTGCTTCTATAAAAACATTTTAATAAAAATACTTTATAAAATTTTTTCATAAAACATTTTGCTTTCATAAATGTAACAATATTGAAAGGGTATAATTAATGTTCTAAAAATTTAATAAGGACACTTCTGAGAGAAAATTTAAGTAATTATTGTATGAACACTTTAAAAAAAAAAACTAAAAATTTAAGCTTAAAAAATACACTTATTTCGGGCTTATTTTCCTGGTCCCATCCCAAATAAGCACTTATTTTTAAACACTCCAAAACATGGCCTGAAAAAAGTGAAGAATAAAAACTCCTTTAGGCCGGGACCAAGTTTCGTTTGAAAGTACTGTTTCAACCAGGGTTAAGCTATTTAATATAAATACAACACTTCAAAGACATGAAAAGAATAACACCTCAAAAACAAAAAACCTTGGTTCAATTTGAAAGTGTACAAATATAAATATATAAACAGTGCAAAAATTTTAAGTTTAGAAACAAGTTCTGCACTGATGTAATATTTGAACACTTCATCACAATCACGCTAAATTAATAATTGTTTTAAAAACTAAAAATACAACGATTTCATAGAGAGATGTCAAACAAGCTGATAGTCTGCAATTTTAGAAAAGCAAGCATCAAAGGGATCGTTTGTTTTAACAAAGTTCACACAAATTAAATAGGGGCTTCTGATTGAAACGCTCCAAGAGGAGAGAGCATACAAAATAAACATTTCCTCAATTGTTTCTTTTTTTTTTCATTTCTTATTAAACAAAAAAGGGGAGCTTGCAGAGCATGCCCCTTGCTCGTTTCTCCACCTACCACAATCCTGCAAAAAAATAGCACAGCCAGACAGTTGATCTAAAAAAAATCGCAACTCACTGGTGGTGATGACAGTCTCAATACCAACTAAATTATTAACATTTGTAAGGTCCGCGGTAGGAAAATAGAAAAACAAAGGGAGAGATTGGATTGGGAGTGGACACTATCAAGCTGCGGACTCCTTGGCGATCTTCTCAGCCTTTGCAATGACCTCTTCAATTCCTCCAACCATGTAGAATGACTGCTCGGGAAGGTCATCATACTTTCCATCCAAAACTCCCTGCCACACATTTATACCAAGGCAAAATGCATTAGATATCACGAATATCACCCACAAGCCATGACCAGGGCGAGAGGCAAATAGAATAAATTAAATAACATAGAAAAAGGACTGCAATAATTTGGCGCAACATAACATATTAATTCAGCCACGTCTTCCATCATTAGCTTTGCAAGGAAGCATTATTTAATGCAAGCGGAGATTAAGGCTGTGCTTGGTTGGTTTGAAGGTAGGGTACCCTATTACCTATACAAACCAAACACAGCCTAAGGTTGCATTTTATGGTGAGTACTACCAAGAACTCCGCAGATCTCCATCAGAAAACAATTCACTAAACACATCAAGTAAAAGTAAGAATGCTTTTATGCCATGCCAATACTGAATCAAAATATAAAGAATGAACCTAAAATATTAAATATGGGAAATTGTAGTGACATGTTTTGTTAACGGGTTCTTATATTTATTTAACATTGGTGCCATCTATAAATGTATGATTCTACAAACTACAAACTACAAACTACATATTCAAAATACAATTCCAAAAAAGAATAGTTCTTTTTTGATGAATAAAAAAAAAGAGAAAAAAAAAAAGAATAGTTCTTCCTTGCAAACTTTCTATACTCGTTAGACAAACAGATCAATGTGGAACTTGTTCTTCCATTTGATCATTCTACTCTCAATAAATTGTAAATATTTTCATCAATTGCCTCATCCCTCCCCAACTGAAATGAAATTTGTTCTTCTATTTGAACATTCTAGTTCTACTCTTGATAGATTGAAAATATTTTCACCAATTTCCCCATCCCTCCCTAAGTGGGGCTAGCAGCATGAATCCTAAAGATAAGCAAATGCAAAATAAGAGCTATCTTAGGAGAGCTTCCATTATCAAGCCATTATAACCAAGCAACAAATGACCACGTTTGACTCTTTATTCTGCATTTTTCCATATTAAGAAGAATGCACTTCTAGAGGTCAGCAAATTTTTTATTACCTGGAAACTTGTAATGCTCTCCTTCAATTCCACATATTTTCCAGGAGCACCCGTAAATACTTCTGCCACATGGAAGGGCTGGCTCAAGAACCTTTGAATTTTACGTGCACGGGCAACAGTCAACTTATCATCTTCACTGAGCTCATCCATTCCCAAAATGGCAATAATATCTTGAAGGTTCTTGTAGTTCTGAAGAACCTTCTGCACACCACGAGCAGTGTTGTAGTGTTCTTCTCCCAAAATATGAGGAGATAACATACGAGATGTAGAATCAAGGGGATCCACCGCAGGATAAATACCAAGCTCAGAAATCTGGTCAGAATTAAATTGCAATAATGTTATCAAGGGATATTACAATCAGAAGTGGTAATGATACTATTCCATGTGAATAGCAAATCCACTTACCTGTCTAGACAACACAGTTGTAGCATCCAGATGGGCAAATGTGGTGGCAGGAGCTGGATCCGTCAAGTCATCAGCTGGCACATAAATAGCTTGGACAGAGGTAATTGAACCTTTCTTAGTGGTAGTAATTCGCTCTTGCAGACCTCCAAGATCAGTAGCCAAAGTTGGTTGGTAACCGACAGCAGATGGAATACGGCCAAGCAAAGCAGAGACCTCAGAGTTTGCCTGCAGAGCAGATAGGAATATAAACAGAAATGCAAAACTAACTCCACCAAGCAGAAGAAACACAAGAAAGTAAATTCATGTAAGTCTACTTCCCAAGCAATTGAAGCTTACTTGGGTGAAACGGAAAATATTATCAATGAAGAGAAGCACATCTTGTCCCTCAGCATCTCGGAAGTGCTCAGCAACAGTGAGGCCAGTAAGACCAACACGAGCACGGGCACCAGGGGGCTCATTCATTTGGCCGTACACAAGTGCACACTTGCTTTCACTCTGAATTATAGAGAAACAACAATATTTAGGAATTTCAAGTCCATGAGAACAGAAGACAGCCATGCAACAACAGAATAACAATGCAAGTTAACAGAGACGTGCCTGCTTATCCCCTAGCTTGATGACACCACTCTCAATCATCTCCCTGTACAGATCATTACCCTCCCTAGTTCGCTCTCCAACACCAGCAAAAACAGAAAAGCCACCTGGCAAAGGATGAAAAAATAAAACATTAAACATAATAAGCAAACATTAATAAAAGTTATCTTTCCTAAATATCCTTTCATATAAACCAACCATGAGCTTTGGCGACATTGTTAATCAGTTCCATAATAAGCACCGTTTTTCCTACACCAGCACCACCAAACAGCCCAATCTTCCCACCTCTCTGATATGGTGCAAGGAGATCCACAACCTGTAAAAGAATGCAACATAAATCACGTCTTGTGGAGAGAACAGTAATTTAGATTGCATCCAGAAACCATGGGTAAAAATGTACCTTAATTCCAGTTACAAGAATTTGTTGCTCAGTTGCCTGTTCAACAAAGGCTGGAGCTTCACGATGGATAGGGAGGTAATGGTCGGTCTCTGTTGGAAGGAAAAGCATACAAGTTATGAATAATCGATATAAAATATGAGTACATAAGTTCAGAATTGGAACCCCTGTTAATAAATAAATGCATTAAGTAATTGTGTCTTCTTACTTATTTCACCCCTCTCATCAATAGGCTCCCCAATAACATTCATGATTCGACCAAGGGTAGCCCTACCGACAGGCACCTAATGAAAAGATTGACACATGAGCAGTTAGTTGTGAAAATGAAAAGAAACAGGAGAAAGACGTTCAAATAGCATAATGATCAAGATGAGTCTTAACACATGGCCAAATTCGATAAAGGAGCAAAACAAAAGTATCATATATTCAGTCTCAATCTCCGAATTATGTAAATGGTGATTAGAATTTCTTAAATCAACAAAATATTTCTTTTAGTGCAGTTATGAGGTAATTCATATAAACATAACCCAAATAAAATTTCTGGACAAGAATCATAAAATCTTAACAGATAACAAAAGCTTATTCATTTGTACTAAATCTCACCTCATTAAGCATATCGAAAGGAAAACACCTTCAAAAAAACTTAATCAAATAAAAAAATCCCCCAGTGTGCGATCGAACAAGCATAGACACAGAGCAATAATCACACTAACAGATCTCATCTAACAACGAGCTCAGTAACAAAATCCTAGGAGAGTGGCCAGAATCAACAATGAGAAATGTTGCACATCTATCCGACCAGTAAAGAAAATTGTTAACATGAAAACAGAAGATGCATTAGCTTAAGGGACGCAAAATAGGATGAATAAACGCTTACAGTGATCGGAGATCCGGTGTTAAGGACTCTCTGTCCTCGCACAAGCCCTTCAGTACCATCCATAGCAATGGTCCTCACCATGTTCTCTCCCAAGTGCTGAGCGACTTCGAGAACCAAACGGATCGAATTGTCCAAAACTTCGAGAGCCGTCAAGATCGGGGGCAATCCCTCGTCGAATCTAACATCGACGACGGCACCGATCACCTGACAAACGCGGCCAATAGCACCAGCCCCAGTGAACTCATCGGTTATCTTGCCACTGGGGCCAGCTCCCTTAGTCGATGGCGACGATGGGACCGACGGCGCCGGGGCCGCGGCCGAAGTCGCATAGTCTACAACACGGTTGAGGAGGAAACCCTTCGGGGAAGGGCGAGACACATGGGATGGGGACGGAGCTCTGGGGTTGATGATCGAGGATCTTGACCCGGAGCGGCGTAAGGATGACCGCAAAAGGGACGATAAAACCTTGCGAGAAGCCATGGTTAGGGTTCCAAAACCAGGGCACTGAACCAACTAGGACTTGGATTTTTATTCGATATCAATTGCTGCCGATGCTGC